TACTTTTCATCAGTTTTTAATAATCAGATCTTAGGTAACGTTGCACGATGTGCGAATCATTTCTACATGTTTCAGGATGGTGCCTGATGTCGCACTTTTTGTGGAGAAGACAAATTTGGTTTTAGTTTTTAATGGTTTATCAGACGACAAAAAGGTTAAATTTAGAAAACAAATTACTGAAAAATAAGTACAGAACTCCCGGCACTTTCAGTCGGTTCTTAAAAACAGAATGAATGCTTCTGGCATAACTGCACTTAATTCCATGGTTGGTGTGAACGGCTGCATTAGGAATAAGTGAGTCCGAAACTTGTATAAGGAGCAGGTTTATTGCTTGACCAACACATTTTGGCCCGTGGCCTTCATGACCCTGCTAAGGCCTCACAAACTTTTTCTTGCAGCTACCTCAGTTTAAAAATGCAAAGTTTATAAACACTACAAATGTAAGATATCGGTGAAGTCCTTTACACACTTTGCAAACTTAATCTATTTGTTAGATTCCTGAGTTGTGATGTAACAACATGACAACTGGGAGTTCAGGTGTGCACACAGGGAGGGACTCGCTTATCATTCATGTCTTTGAAGCTGACAGCTGATCACTTACAGACTAGGCTCCTGTTGCCTTTATAACCCTCTGCTATATTTACTACCCTGTCATATTCAAACAATAGTATCCTGTAGTATCTTAAGACCTTTACACATAGGAAGGGTAAAATCTGTGTAAATATTTTGTGCATTAAAAATATTTTTGAGACTCACCTATCCAATCAGATCTCATTGGTTTGTTCCAGGTCAGTCAGCTCTCTGAAATGATTTGTCTGGATCCTGAGATGTGCTCCCAACTCTGCCAGCAAGAACTCAAACTGCCATGCTGACATCCTGAGATATGTAAGAAAGTGGTCATGAAACAGCTTCAACTCCTGGATCAAACCATGAAATTCTCCCTGCTGCTGCTTTCTCCTAAGAATCTGTTTCTTCCTAGAAGATAGAAAAACACACGACAGAGCACCATCAGTCATGGATTGATCTCCCCAGAACTTGAATCTCCACATTGTTAAATAAAGTGTGATATCATCTCAACACAGAATGGGACAAAGTACAGTCAACATCCAAAGAAATGTTTGCACTGTTACTACTCAGCCATACCCAAAATAGACTTGGCAAGAACTGTACAAAAATATTTCAATAAATCACTCCACCTGCTATTTATTTTCCCAGCAAAATATAAGAAAAGAGTGACAGTTCAAGAATATTCCACAATACTGTGTAACGCAACCATATTTATTGTTTTTAAGATGTTTTAGCTGCTTTGGAGTGATATATGAATGTATACAAAAAAGACTTGAGTCCTTTCAATGCAACTCTCTGATAAATGATTGCTTGCTGTGCACTTAATTGTGCTAATAAACTGTGCCCAGGACTTCTGGTAAGTGAACCTAAAGTAATTTTTATTTACCACTTATTATCAGGAATCAATGCCTGTGCTATCCTCCTGCACAATTTAGGAATGCAGTTTGCCAACAGTGCCCCCTGCCCCCCACAAAAGCGTTCTAGCGAACAGTGTTGGGGAGTAAAGGAATACATGTACCGCCGTTACGCATTTAAAATCCAAAAATGAGTAACTGTATTCGGTTACAGTTACTGTTTATAAGGGTGGTATTTAGAATACAGTTACTTTGTTGAAATAAAGGGATTACACGGCGGTCTTTTCCTGTTTCATATGTTCGGCTCTGCCCTCTCTATTTTTGGTAATTCCACGCCGGTGGAAACCCAAACAAAACACGCATTAAGAGGCTCAGTGTCTCAATCTCACGTCTCATAATGACGTGAAGAAATATTCAAAAAATGATTTAATATGAAGGCAATAGCAGAGTGTTACAGGCATCGCCCTAAAGCATGTAGCCTCATGGGCAGTGTAAATGGACTGCCATACCTGTTATGTGTCTGTGAGCGGAGAAAAAGGGGAGTGGAAAAGTATGAGCTGTCACCGAGCAGAAACGGGAGCTGGAAGCATGTAAATATAATAATAACCACTGCAGCCAAACAGAGAGCCTGACGAGCCCAGTTGTAAGTAAGCTGTTAAGACTCGACTGTACGCTGTGTTCCTGTTTTCCTCCGAAAACAATAAGTTCCATTGAAGCAGCCTTTCAACGCCTCTCTCTGTCTCTCGCTACCAAAGTTGACCCAGACAACAAAGTAAAGCTAGTTTTTGGCTACGAGCCCGACACGAACCCGACGTATTAGCCAGAGGTCCTTTACTACGGTTCAGAGCCACAGACCTGTTTTATATACGCGCTGAATAGTTTTCTATACGAGATCGCTGCAAACAGTGCAGCCTTACCTAATGTCCACCTACTGTTACTCATTTATATTAAGATTTAAACATCTAGCTGGTGTTGGTATGGAGAGTAGCCTTCAGTAATAGTAATAAATCACACAGCAATAGGACATTCATTAGTTGTTAAAAAGCATGATAATATATTAAGTAATCCAAAGTATTCCGAATACGTTATTCTCATTGAGTAATGTAACGGAATATGTTACAAAATACATTTTGGGGCATGTAATCTGTAATCTGTAGTGGAATACATTTTAAAAGTAACCTTCCCAACACTGCTAGCGAAGACTGCAGATTGTTATGATAACGGAAGCAATTTATCCGAACGGCTTTTCAAATGAGCAAATGGAGGCATAAACTCCTCGTTGACAGACAAGCGAAAGGTGGAAGGAGAGGAATGGGTTTTTCAGTCTAAGAGATGACGTGTCTACTTTGCTGTCCTGCCAGCGCTACCTGTTCCCTGGTAACATTTAAATTGCTACCTTGCTGCAGGCCCAGAGATGAGCAAAAATGTCAGTGTGTGATGACAAACAAACAGTGCCTCTACCATGTCTTGATTCTCTCTTTATTAGACAGAAACGCGGTAAGGTTCATTTGCATCGAAAAGAAATGTGGGCGAGAAAACCTCAGGCGCACACAAAGAACTGCCGGTGTGACGCTGCGAAATATGACATCGTGCCACAAATAAAAGTCAATCCCTCAAAGGCTACATGCTTTTTTTCTTGCTCTTGCTTTCTGTGAACAGTCTCTCTCTCTCACACACAGGCCCAGCGGCCATTCGTTGTTTGAGCAGCATGTACCCATCAAATCCTACCTCCCCTCCCATCCCCGCCACCTCTCTCTCCAAGTGTATATCACAGGGCTGACAGACAGCGCTGGGGCTGAATCGCTCCCTCAGCTTCGGAGGTCTGCTCTAGTGTGTAATACTGATCTGTGTGCCATCAGCCACCATTGGCTTCACTTACACACCGCCTCATAGAAGCAAATTTTGCTTCAAAGGGAGAAACTATTTATTTTCTAACATTTGTACCAGAGAAGCACACAACTAAGCTCGCCAAGGATTGTTTTCTTTTTCCAGGTTTAAATCCAGGACATTAAAGCTGCTCAAATTGCCTTCTCAAAGCTTTCTTGGTTATCTGTCGACAAAGCAGTCCAACTCAGTAGTGCAGCATAAACAACATCTCATTTATCTTCGTTTTAGTCAACAGCAAACGTCTTGCTCTTCGATTCAATTTGCTTCACGCAGCTCCAATGATCAGAAATATAACTGCCAGGCATGTGGAGGAGAGCTAATCCAGAAATGTTTATTAGTGTAGCAATTGTACCTTTATGAGCTTTCAGCACCACACATCACTACACTAATGCAGATGCAGGACTCGCTGTAAATGAATGCTTTCCCTTCATTTATCATGCAGGGAAAGATAATGTTTCATCTGTAAAAGAAAAGATATTAATCTGTTATTTATGTTGCTGACTTGCAGTCCCAGCTGGATCTGCTTTACTATTCATAGAGTTGAGCCTGGGCCTCGCTGCATGGGCCGTTAAGGCCGTGATTTGCACGAGACATTGCCCTGTGCGTGTGTGTTTATACAATCATGCATGCACGCACATGTGCTTGAATGCATGTCCATGTGTGCTTGACCCAGCTCTATACATGCAAGGCTGGCTTTCAGCACACCACACAGGCATGTTTTTTTTTTCCCTACACAGCATATTTTTCTCTCTTAACCTCTGCAATCCAGCTGATTTGGTGACTCAACACTTTTGTTGCAAAAAGAAACACTTACAGTCTTCACAATAAAATGCAGTGCATCTCGAATTAAAAAATAAATAAATGTGTGGACTATAAGCTAACTTGTAGGAATTTAATAAACCTTGTGAATAAGTAAAAGCCACCAGTACCAGTAGGTTTGATGGTGAAGTGCATAAATGAGGTTTTTTTACAATAGCACAGTTGTATTGAATTGTCATCTAATATTCAATCAATCTGCTCTGCATGAAATTTTTGGAAATGAGACCTTAAACTATGACCTCAAGAGATGGTGCCTTTAGCAGATCCGGGATTAGCTATGTTGAGTGTACACAAACCCATAGTATGGTTAACTACTATATACACTGATCAGGCATAACATTGTGAGCAATGACAGGTGCAATGAATAACACTGATTATCTCTTCATTGCGGCACCTGTTAGTGGGCGGGATTATTATATTCGGAAGCGAGTGAGCTTTTTGTTCTAAAAGTTGATGTGTTAGAAGCAGGAAAAATGTACAAGGATTTAAATGAGTTTGACAAGGGTCAGATTATGATGGCTAGACAAATGGGTCAGAGCATCTCCTAAACTGCAGCTCTTGTGGGCTGTTCCCGGTCTGCGGTGATCAGCATCTATCAAAAGTGGTTCAAGGAAGGAACAGTGGTGAACCAGTGACAGGGGAGACAAGGCTGAGGCTCACCGATGCACGTGGGAAGTGAAGGCTGGTCTGTGTGATCTGATACAACAGATGAACTACTGTAGCCAGTTGACGCTGGTTCTGATCAGAATACACAGATCATTGCAGTTGTTGTGTTTTCGGCTATACAGCCACAGACCAGTCAGAGTGTGCATGCTGATCGCTGTCCACCACCAAAAGCACCAACAGTGGGGATGTGAGCATCAGAACTGGACCACAGAGCAACAAAAGAAAGCCTTCTCATCTAATGAATTATTTTTTGTTTTTGTTTTTTGTACATGTGGATGGTGTGGTGCATGTGCATCGCCTACCTGGGGAACACTTGGCACCAGGATGCACTATGGGAAGAAAACAAGCTGGGGGAAGCAGTGTCATGCTTTTGGGAAAGTTCTGTTGGAAAACTCTGGGTCCTGCCGTCCACGTGGATGTTACTTTGACGAGCACCACCTACTTAAGCTTTGTTGCACACCATGTACACCCTTTCACGGAAGCAGTATTTCCTGATGGCTCTTTCAGCAGCAGGAACATGTGCCCTGCCACAAAGCAAATATAGTTCAGCAATGGTTTGAGAATAGAATAGAATTTTTTAAGGATATTTTTTTTTAGTTTTAGAATAGAAGAGGAGCACAAGATTCAGTTTGAGGTGTTGACTTGGCCTCTGAATTCCCGAGATCCTGATCCAATCGCACATCTGTGGGATGCACTGGTCCTGTTGCTTTCCTGGTCATAATGCTATGTCTGATTAGTGAATATGATTAATGCACTCTTTATCATGATTTGCATTTCCCCCCCGCTGAGCCATGCTGGATGATTTTCACGTACAGGTATTTAACCCGGGCTACAGTCTGCGCTGTTATATCTTGGATGGAAATTCAGGCAAATTACCTTAACATTTCCACTTCACTGCTAACTGGATATGTATTCTAGCTGGTCTCATAAAGTGGCGAGGAAAGTGGAAGGTGAAACTGATTTTTATTATTTACCCCTGCAGGCATCATTTCACACAAATCATGCACTCACTTTTCCTTTCCTTCAAAATAATCTTAAATCCTTATTTTTCTTTTTTAACCCCCATGAAGATTGTTGTAGAGGGAAAAGCTAAACATATTCCCCTGACATCAATTCCAATTCCCTCAACTGTACTGTAATATCACTGCATATTTCATAATTAAATATTTTTGTGTTCATATCACTAGTGATCTGTGCAATGAAAAACAGACAGGCAGCTGAAGCTCAAAGCAAAGTGTCAACCCTCTGTGTGGTACTTTTACCTTTACTTCCTGTTTTATTTTATTTTATTTTATTTTATTTTATTTTATTTTATCCAGAAGGCATGCCGTTGCAGAAATTATAAAATCAATGCAGATATAATAAAAATGAATATACATTATTAAAAAACAAAACAAAACAAAAAACCAAGTCAGAGTCAACAAATACAATATTACAAAAACATAAAGTCAGACTTATGAATATTAATTGCACCAAAGTTTTTATAAAAAGTAAACTCGCCCAGGGAGGCAAAAGCATTCGGCTTCAGTGTAAAGTTTATTCCAAACAGAAGTGCAAAATAAGACAAAGCTGTTCTACCAAGTTCCCAAAAAGACACCCTAAGGAGCAGCCATCTAGACAAGTGCAAATCATAGCAGCTATCTGTAAGTTGTAAAGGATTGCACAGATAAGGAGTTTACCCAATATAGCACTGTACTGGGGAAAGTGCTGTTGTCTCCTTAGACCTAAAGAAGGCCAGAAAAAAGTGTGATGTTTTTGTTCTTAAAGCGACTCATGGACCGGGCCGCGAGAGTTGACGCTCGGGTGTGAAATTTATGGTTTTCAGGGTTTTATTTTGTTGCATTTATCTGCGACACCTTAAACGCCGGTCTGTGAAAACATTGTCAGACATAAATGAAAAGGTTGGGGGCCGCTGTGTTAGACAACTAATTTGATGAGAAGCTTAAAGAGTTGTGATACGCAGTCCAGACAATGTAGTGTAGAAGAGGTAGTTTGCATGTAAGTAAAGTCACCACGAATAGTAACATTTAAGAATGTAGCCAGTACGTGGATTTTCTTAACTGGTAAATTAAGGCAGTTTTTCATTAGTCTTTCAATAAAACCTCCTCCTAGCTTACGAATGCCAGCATTAACTAAGTTATTTGTGGAAAACATGTTGGCATTTAGAACCTAATTGAAAAGATGCTGTGATGCCTGAAAGGCAGTCTGGAGCTCCTTAGTTTCCTGACTCAGAGTAAAGTATTGTGTCATCTTCATAAAGGTGCACTTTAGCTCAAAAACATATTATCCCAAATTTTATTTACAGAAATAGATTTTTTGTTTGTTTTTTTTTAAAGAGAGGGCCTAAAATGGAACCAGGAGGGACTCCTTTGAAGAGATCCAAGAATTTTAACTGGAAATCCTTTCACGGATACACACAAGGTTAAATCTGCAAGGTAGCTCCTGAAGCACCATATTACCCCCTCACTCAAACCAGTATCAATGAGTATGCCTAAGAACAGGTCATAGTCTTCAAAAGGTAAAGCTGCTGCTATACTGGGATCCACTCTAATGCCAGACTGAGTTTTGTTGAAGATATGTTCAGCCCAATACTGTTTTATTTCATACAGAGAGGCTACAGAAGTATGCTGTAGCCTCGGTGTTACCCACGGTGTTAATTTATCACTTTGAATTACAATGCTACAACTGTACACTGAACCACACGACATACACACTCACACATCCATTAAGTGGCGTGTCGGATATCCAGCCGTGAAATCAACCGCTGAATAAGGAGTGCTTCCGTCCGGGGAAAGAGATCCATCGATCGCTGTCTCCAGACATAAAAGAGTGTCTTGATGCAATACCCCACAAGGATTTGTGCTAGACATGCAGACAGAGAGGAATCTCATACTGTACTCTGCGATGGATCTGACCTGAGTGACTCCTCCTGCTCCTATCCTACCTAACAACTTTCTACTCAGACACGATTTCTGTTGTGTGAAGTTCATTGCATACCTCAAGTGATAAAGCTCATACCAAACAAGTGAAACATCTGACACAAAACCTTTGTGAAATTCCCTACAAGGAAAACTGATTTTTCCAGTCACTTCCACTTCCTCCACCCTTTGAACTATTGTAACATGATCTTTTTGGGTACTTCTTTCCTCTCTGTCTGCTAAGGGACAAGACCAAGAAAACCTGATCTGAATGAACCAAGTGTGTGATAATGAGGCGTATGATAATAGCCACGCTACACTGTGACCCTTAGCTCCTTATTCAAATTCAGTGTGATGATGGGATTGAATTTCTTCCAGCCTGGCCCCTGAAATAGAGCGAATAACCATGGTCATTAAAACTACCTTATCCAGTGGAGACCCATGAGAAAAATGACCTATTTGAGTCTAAAGTATAATAACTTAAAAGAGCCAAAGTATCCAACTGTTACGCTGTAAGATCCAAATAATTCATCTATAACACAGTGCTGCTGAAATGCTATGTATTCTTAAAAGAATAGATATTTTACTGGTATGACTAGTCTAGTGAATCTAAATCTATATTTAATAGACTTGCAATGTGGGCTTCAACTCCTATAAACTGAATTTATTAGTGAGGAAACAAAAAAGACAAAAAAAAGACTTGCTAAATATTGTGCCCATAAGCAAAGGATGTGAGTCAGTTTTCATGTTACACATCCCCAGTGGAACATTGGCTTATAAAGTGCTCCTCCATAAAATGTCTGCTGTTACGCCGTTCTGGCAGCCTCCAGGCAAAAGCTGTAGAGGTAGCTTGATCTCCTTAGACATTTAATTTTCTTCCGTGTAGGACAGAAAAACTTGTTAATGTGCTCTTATATGAGGTTTTTAAGCGCAAATCATCTACATAATCTGTTGTTTTTGTCTGAGGTTTGCAGGTTTTTGCGCTACATAGTCTCCTTTTCTATTTCAGTATGAAATTTGCAAGTAAGATGTTCTCTCCAACAGTCTGTCCGTCACTCAATTATCACCCCAGCACATGCTGTATACGTTTTAAGCAGGCAAGCTGCGATAACAGGGGAAGTAGTGTCGTTTTTAAGAATCACTTTATTCGTCGTGCATTTGCACGGTATGTTGTGACACGCAACACACAGGTGTCTGCACGGAGCAGAGTCAAAAGCAGCTGTGTTACTTCCTGTGGAGTGGGTTCTTGATAGCTGTCTGTCTACTGGTCTGTGTGAACACACATCAAAGCCTCCTGTCAAAAACTTCTGATGGAGTTGGAACAGTGACATATTTCAGAGCTATAATCAGTCACAATATGACAGAGAAATTACCACCTTCCCTCAAGAGCAATCAGTCAGTTCCAGTGCCAATCAGCTCATCTGATGCTCACACAAATAGACATGTCAAAAAAAAGAAAAAGGATACCACTCCCACTCTGCTGTAACGCTAGTTCTTTCTGTTTTTGGAGCTCCGAGGAGAACCGAAAGAAGCTTTGCACTCCAGAGATGTTTAAGTCGTTCAGCGAAACACCTGTGCTTGTTTCATTAAAACCCATTTGATTGTCAAAATAGGTGCACACACTCAGTGGTCCTATAAATTCTTTCAGTTGGTGTCTGAGTAACTTGTACGCAAGTGCACGCAAATGATTGCAGCCGCATCTTTGTCAGCTCGCCTCGCTGTGCGCAGCAGGCCGGTGCACCTAGTCAGTGTTAAATGATCATGTTCCAGTCTGATGGTCTAACCAAGCTCTGCTGTGCAACCACGATGCCTGGAGAGACGAGGCTCCATTTGAGCAGAAAGATAAGACGGCCTCCTGCCGGTCTGCCAGCGCTTGGAGAGTGCAGCAGGGGGTGGGAGAGTTTGACGGTGGAGGAGCGGGGATGCATAAAGTGGGAGTGAAGAGTTTGTAGGGAGAATGTTTTCTGTCTCTTCCTCTGTAATCTGACCAGAGTAAAGAGAGGGGCTGGAGGGTGAGGTGAGGTGAGTAGTTGTAAAGCAAATGTGCCACACTGGCAGGCCCCTGGGAAGACCCTGTAAACACTGCTCAGTCACAGCTCTGATTACAAAGGCAGAGAGGGGAGGGTTATAAAAAGAAGAATGGAAAACAAGGGGGGACTGGGAGGGTGTGACAGCAGGAGGGAAGGTGGGATGAAACCAAAGGGACAGAAAAGGACGTGGAAAACAGAAGAGGAAGGGAGAGATGCTAAGTGGATGGAGCATAAACTAGAGGTGGCTGATGAAAGAGTGGAGAAAAAAAACGTCAGAGAGAATGAAATCGATATCAAAACCCTTTGTTATTTCTGTTTAGCCGGAAATATTTTTCTCTACAGGTTGAATTGTTTGCTTCTACAGGAAATCATCCAGCCTTGTTGTGCAGCGTATAACTCCATCACAAAGTCAACACATGGATTTACCTTCTGGAGTCGATACTGCAGCTACATCTAACTCTGTTTCATTTGCATTTCTTTAACCATGACTTTTGTGCTCCCCTCTGTGCTATTGATCCACGCAGCCCGTGCAAGATGAGGATTTGAAATGGCGGAGGAGAAACGTTTGATATAATTTTCCTTTAAGCCACAGCGCCTAATTATGTGGCATGAGCATGAACACTGACAAGAAAGCAGGAAATTGGCCTCGGCTTCTGAACTGGCAATCAGTGCTCTTTGATAGAAAGCCATGGAGTCATATCATTGCATCAATAATTACAGCTGTGGATAAGCCCCAAAAACAAGCACCAGCAGAATAGGAACCAACCAATAAAGAGAGGCAAAACAAAGTGGGCCAATCAAAAGGTGAGAAACATTCAATATGTCAGCGTTAAGCCAAAGAGGCACAGCAAGAGGGATTTTGAGACTGAGTAATGAACGTCGGTGTTCGTCTGTGAGGTTGTTTGTGGTCCTGATAGCTATCTGTGACGTGGGGCAGATGGATTAGTTCAATATTGAATTAGAGCTGTCTTTTTAGAATGCCTCTCCGTGTTCACAGTTAGCCTGTTTAATGTCTCGTGCCATTCATCTGGAGCAGACTTCCTGCTGGTTCAACATGAGATTGTGTTCTTTTCTTTTAATGCATCTTAATACAACTTTAATAAAGTGATATATGGAAGTCTGTCGATTTCAGTATTAAATTTCAGTGCCTAATATGTGTTTAAAGTTACTCTAAGAAACAAAAACAAAAAATAAACTCACTTAGTATGCTCATAAATCATGAGCACACAGATGATAAGACACGGTGTTAGTTTATCAAATGTTCAACATTATTAATATACATGCACTGGCCCCTTCAGTAGACCTTATGCGTCAGAATTGGCTTAAATTCACCAAGGTGCTGGAAACATTCCTCTGAGATTTTAGTCCAGCATAGCAGTTAGTGCATGTTTGTCAGTGTCATGATCTGGAAAATTCCATCAGGCACCTGAGTTTCCTTGGTCTCCACCCCTGGGCGGAGCCATCATTGCTCCTGCAGTCCTGCACACCTGAAGCTGATTCTGGGTAATCAGGTTGAGGATTTAATCTCCACTCAGACTCTGCTTCACTGCCAGTTTGTCAATGACATCATTTTCTCTGGACCTTCTTCACCACTTGCCTTCAACCTCAGCTTTTCTCGGGTTATCTCCGCGTTCCGGAAAATACAGAAAACCTCACCTGCCTGCCCTCCAGCTGTCGCTCACCACCTCGGACGCTGTGGAACTCAGGTCAGCCCTCTTCAATACTCACCCAGATTCTCGCTGCCGCTCCCTCAAAGCCAAACTCACTCTGGCTATCAGTAAGCAATATCAGTCATACTCACCTTCCCTAAGTGTCCTGCACCCGCCACCTTTCTAACCTCGTTCTTTTCTCTTCCCAGTCGCACCCGCTCCATTCCTGTCCCACCTGTCAATTCCCAGTTCACCCTCACTGACCCACAGCCGCATCACTAGTAACACTTTGCTACGAATTAATCTGTTTTCTTTATAAAACACTAAAACGTACATGCCATCTCTGTGGTTCTCTGCATTTGACTTCAGTTTAGCTATCGGCCTCTGACCGTTGTGACAATCGGCTGCGTATTCATGATGCAACTGTCCCATTGTAACACATCCCAAAGCATGTGTGTATTCTGTTGAGAGCTGGTGACTGTGGTGGTACGATGACCTTATTGCCATGATTAAGAACCAGTCAGAGACAATCTAAGATGATTTGAGGTTTGTGACAAAGCATATTATCCTGCCATAAGCAGCCATCAGATGTTGGGCAGTTTGGTAACAAAGGGGTGGACATGGGCCATGACATTTAAATAATACTCAGTTGGTACTAAGGATCCTAAATTGTACAAAATATCCTCCACACCGTCCCGAACCACGGATACAGGTCAGGATCCATGCTTGAATGTCGATGCTTTAACCGTGTATCAGCAGAAATCAAGACTCATTGGACCAGGTAACATTTTTCAAATCTTCTATTGTCTTACGTTGGTGAGCATGTGTGAATTGTAGCTTCAGTTTTCTTTTATCTGACAGGACCGGCATCCAGTGTGGTCTTCTTCTGCTGTAGCCCATCTGCTTTGACATATTGTGCATTCAGAGATGCTCTTCTGCGTACCTTGATTGTTACAAGTGGTCATTTGAGTTACTGTTGCCTTCCTATCTGAGCTCTGGCATCGAAAGCATTTTTTGCTGTTTTGCATTTTTCAGACCGTTCTCTGTGAACCATACAGATACCGGCGTGGAGAAATCTTAACACATTATCACAACTACGTAACATTCAAAGTCATTTTCTTCCCCATTCTGATGCTCGATTTGAACTTGGTCCTCTTGACCTGATGTGTACATGCCTAAATGCTGTCAGCTGTTGATGTAATGAAGTGGCCAGTAAGTGTAACTAGCCTCGTATACATTAGTATCCTGTCCTGATTTAGTGTGAGAGTTTTTCTTGTACTTTGTTTGTATGCATCTAAAGCAGATTGCTTGTTTCTTATCCAAAAGGAAAAACTTCCTGATGCACTGTTTTCTAACTCTGCTGCACTGACTGTGGTCAAAAAATCCAGAATAATTTTGTTCTTTTGTCACTAGAAAAACAAGCTGCAATGCATCTGTGAATCAAATGTGTGAAAAGCACTAGAGCACATTAAAGAAACTAAAAGTTTGACCAGGTACAAGACCTGAGCATCATACATTTTTGTATGTCTTCTACAAGCTCTCATAGTGTAACTCAAACTTGTTAAGCGCAGAATTGCTAAAGAAAATGCAGGAACCTGGACTGTGTGTACTACTGAATGTCGTTTGTTTGCGCCTATTTTTTTTTTTGGGGGGGGGGTATAACTTAAGGCATTTCAGTTGCAGCCATCCTGTTTAAAATATCCTTAAAACAAGCACTAATCAGGGCCAGTTGGATGTTCAGAAAACATCTGACATTATTTCCATGGGGGAAAAAAAAACAACTGCTGCATCATGACCCAAATAAGTCACACACGAAAAATGGTTTGACGTACATGACAGATGTTAGGGGGGGGGGGAAGGGCGAAGAAATTAAATTAAAACATAGAACGCATCTATCTCTGTCTACGTCTGTGGACACTCCACTTCTTACAGTCATTGCACAAACACACGCACCCTTTCCATTTCCTCCATTCCCCTTCCCTTAGCTGACTCGCTCAGAGTGACAGCCTGGATGATTTCTCTTGTCAGTCTAAGTGTGCGCTGTCACACCATAGCTGCACCTGCCTCTCTCCACCGCAGCACTCACACTGCCCTCACCTTCTGTGCTGGCTGCTCTTTCCCCAAACTTTCTCCTCCTCCCTCTTGTTTTGCTTACATCTTCTTTTATCCATCCTGCAGACTCATTTGGTCTCAATTCACTGCTTAACATCTTCTTTCCTCGCAACACAAACCTCCTATCCATGTGGGCGTAGGGGATGGAAATGGGAGTGATTGACTTTCGGGTAAAGCTCATGCTCTGATGGATGATGTGTTAATATAGCTGCAGTGACCTCAGATCAGTGTTTGGTGTTCTGATCTTATCTGCTAATAAGTGGGTTAATTAATCTTAATATTAACTTTGACCCATTGGAGGGGGGGAAAAAAGGATGTGGTGTGTTCATAGGTCTCTGTAGGGACTGGTTCACAGATGAGTTTCCATGCAAATGCTGAAGTTGAGCCTATTTTAATGAAGCAGAGAAAATAAAACAACTGCTGCATCTAAATGTGAAACTGTGGGAAAACATACCCATCTTTGTTTTTAAGCCGAGTCGGTGAAAGAACACTACGTGAAAATTTTAAATGCCAAGTTTAAATTAAAGCCCTGCAGGTAAAATTAATGTAGAATATTTGAGAACTATAATAGACCGAAAGCAAAGGAACACTCATTCAAAGACGATAACTGTCAACATCTCAGTATCCCCATGTCTGTGATCGTTGGAGGTTAGTAACGTGCCTTACTGTCAGCCGCAGTCTGCCTTAATTGATAATCACTGTCAAACATGTAGAAATTAAAATTCAGTGATGGATTTCTTTTCTAGGATGGAGTCAGTATAGCTGCATTAAACATTTAAACCTGCTTTTCCTACAACCACGAGCGAGTATTAGTCTATATATTTAAGGTCTTATCTTGACCTGTTCTAAGGAGGAAGGTTTATTTTATTTTTTAAAGCATAGTGCTGTCAGTTTGATTTGCAGCAGGTTTGATTTTGTTTGGTCTGCTTGTGCTGGTTTTCCACACCTTAGTGTGGTTGAGGGGCTTGTGTGTCTCAGTGATCCCAGGGGCTTTGTTGTTGGGGGGCTTTTTGCCTCTGATTTCCCAGGAAAAATTGGGTAAGGGACCACAAAGAGCAATTCACTCCTATGTATGGGGGGGGGGGAGAATCAAGGGGCAAAATTACCCAGTCTGGAATAAGTTTACCAGGGCCCCACCCTGGAGCCATGCCTGGGTGCACGCCTGAGGCAAATCGCCTACCTGATCTGAACCACAGTGCTGTTCTATTATTGGACTTCTCATCACATGATAGTTTGTTTATAAAGAGGACAATATCTGAACATAAGGGTGTCTGTAAGTGCATGTGGCACCAGGACACCCTAGGTCACAGGTTTAACTCAGCTCCCAACTAATCATTACCTAGGATCCAAATGAAGATCAGGTGGATGTCTTCAGTAGAGGAACCAGATTCTGGGGACGAGGGGGGCAATCCACCCATCACTGGGGAGGAGGTAAGTGGATTGGTTGTTATACAGCACTTTATACAACATGGCTCATTTACCTACTCGCACACATTAATATAAGCACTTTATTCTAAAGATAGTTTTAATAGTTGATTTATGTCCCCATGTTCATCTATGGTCAAAGCTTTGTATAGTGACCAAAAGAATGAGAACATGGATCCAAGTGACAAAAGTGAGCTTCCTTTGAAGGGTGTCTGGCATCGAGGGGTCCCTGGGATAGAAGAAGGACATGCTGGAAAGATTCAGCTGGTCTGGGAACGCCTCATTGTTTCCTGGATGTTGGAGGTGGATGAGGAGAGGGGAGGGTATTCTGGGTTTCTCTCGTTAGGCTGCCCCTGCAACCTGGCCCCGGAAGGGGAAGAAAATGGATGAATTGTTCGTGCTGTTGGAAACTGATGTAATTAATCAAATTTAGAAATGTAAAAGGGGAAAAAAAAAATCAGTGGTAGAAGTTGTAATTTGTTTAAAATGGGAACACCATTGTAAGGTGGTTATTAGAAATCTGTAATTCAACTTTTGTGAAAATAAATGAGATTAGCTGAAATTAAAATGATAAGATGTTTTCATAAGGTGTAAGTGCATAAAGATTTAAATATGAGTCATTTTAGCCCAATGCTAAGTGGTTACCAGGCAACATGTTGTGTTATATATCATATGTGATCGAATGTTACTGCAGTGAAATAGAAATTATATACTTTTATAAGGTGTTAGAGGTGCATCATTGTGGAAAAACAGGCCTTTTTAAACCATTGTGACATGGTTGCTAGGCATCCTAATGACCTCATTACTATACAATATAAGAACCTTCAAGAGCCCAAGATATACCTGTGTATCAAGTTTGGTTGCTCAGATCCTGATTGTGTAGAAGAGGTTTGTAGACAGGAGAGTGTGCATACTCTACCTCCTAGATTAGGCATGGGTTTTTCAGGCTCAGGCTCATCTGTATGTCATTATCACTTACCTGAAGAATTCAACCCCAGCTCAGGTTTCCACTCTTCACCAGATCGCTGACCTACTCAGTGTGGTGAGAAGTTGAGTTAAATGAGTTGCTCTTGCAGGATCTAGCTTTGATGCTTGCCTTTTTCACTTATGTACCTGCCTTGTCCTCCTCTTGCTGTGTTATGTGAACAAACAAAACTGCCTTGCAAGTCTGAATTTATTTTCTAAAACACAAGGAGGAAGCGCAAAATCAGTGGAAAGCAGCAGCAGCAGCAGGCTGCTCTTCCCATCCCAATACTGGGTCTGTCTAACTTTGGCTAAGAACCAAATGTTCCCAGCCGCCATGTCCCATGGATTAATCTCTTACTACAGCAACACATGGAAACTTAATATTACGAAGAAACTTCATATCAAGAGTTCTACAGTCACTTGCCATGGCTCTTAGCAGTGCCAGAAGGCTAATAACAGGATCTAATAGGTTTTAGACCCTGCTAACCATCTGCCCGCCCCTGCTCTCTTCTCACACTGACTACTCCTCTATGAGTGGAACCAGCACTCAACACAAGCACAGCTCAGTTCAGCTCCCTGCTCTCTAGATTTTGCTCTGTCTGGCTTCCTTCAGGAAACCACTGATCCTGCTCTACTCTTCCTAACATTCACTCTAAGCTCAATCCAAACTCTCTAACTTCTGTTCTGAAGTACTCTCAGGTCATTTTGCTATCTTCTTTTACAATAAAAAATCATATTAATTACAGCCTCCCCTTGGTGGATCTGATTTATCCTTACTTGTAATATATATGTAGCATAACCATTCCCAGTCTGATGGGCAATGATCTTAAAAAAGGAAAATTTGCTTTTCTAAGACATTGCACCTGGATACTCCAGACCAGCAGACTTCTGCTCTTACAGAGATGTTACGGTGTAATCTAGTGTGCTGTTCATCTGAGGCTGAACCTAGCAGTGACCAAAATGTTGTTTTTTTTTTTTTTTTTTTTTTTTATAATCCTGATGCGTAAACCCTTAGACTCAAAAGAGCATGTACTTTCTTTTTTGCATGACCGTCTACAGGGGGAAGAAAAAAACCTTGGTAAATATTTTTCAAAACTGGGTTGATGAAAAACTTATACCTATCACATCAGACAGAAGCCTCACCAGAATCCAGCCAAGGTTAACCCCAGAGCACCCCTGGGCTAAACACAAAACTGACTTTGTGATCTGCACTGCGTCCGACTTCAAAAACTACCTTCAACACCTTTAAAGCAGCTCGGTCTCATGTGATTTGTTTCTGCAAATTTAGAAATATTTTTCCCATACAGTGTCTTCCCACAGGAGAAGCAGCATTAACATAAAATGAAGCCAGTTTACACTTACACAAGCTTGCTGCCATCAAACACTGCTACTTAAGGATATTTTCTAAATGTTCTCCCTTGAGTGCTACAATATTTGGATTGCAGCTCAGCAAACGCCAAATTTTCAAATGCTTTCATTGTAAGCAGGTGAAACGGGGAAAAACAAAACTGTGCTAAAAGAGACAGGATGGTGGAAAGGAATGAATAATGTTCAACAACTGAGGGGACAAAAGAGCAGAAGCTGGCATAAATTGGCTTGCAAAAGCAGCGTACAGTCATAACGTACGTGTGTATCTAACCGAATGCGGATTCATTACTGGAAATGTTTGCGAGAACCTGTGCACTTGTGGTACAACTGATACAGAAGCAGAAAACCCAAGGTGGTTAGAGTTTTTAGGTTCGCAGGCAAACAACACGGATTAAGAATCAACACAAATCGAAGACCCAAACTTAACGGCTCTGCAGGGTGTTGTTTAGTTTTATTTTTTTACATTTTCAGTTCAGTGCAGAACTAGGGTTACTGAGTGTTGAGGTACTGTGTATATATGGCTTTAATATCCTCTGTCTGATCACTTCTTAGGTCAGAAAAGATGATCCATGGCTATTCATTCTTATCACGGCTGCTTTTGTCAATTTGTCTTATTGATTGGACCTGGAAGCGAAATCTCTGCAGCATACGAACAAAGATGAAAGACGAATAAAGATGGTACATCTGCAGTTTGACCGTCACACAAGATGGCTTAGGCCTGCACCTCTGTCCTTGTGTGCGTGATATGTGTGGAAGAACACTTCTGGGGTTCGCCCCTTGATACATCCACAACATAGATGGATGAGGCACACCAAAACAATATACCCTCTGACCTAGATACTAATAGAACGGCCCCGGCCTTCAGTCGCTCGCTGCTGTTCATACCACACTGTCTCTCACGAGAATCTACACCGTAAGAGAAGGATTACTGTGTTCCTTATATGGAGTAAACATTTTTAAGTGGTGTGTTGCTCCTGGTTTTGTGGACATAACTTCCTCTTAGGGAACAAAGAACAAAGTCCCTGAAGATGTTCAGCCTTAGGGTCACAAACTAGTTTACTCCTTCGGCCAGTCCTTAGTTTCTTCTTCTTTGTCGTCGTCTTCTTATAAAAACATGACGTGTGTGTGTGTGTGTGTGTGTGGATGCCAAAAAGCCATTTTATCCCTTTTCATTTGTAACACATGCCTTCATGCACGCTGTCCACATAACCTAGAGTAGTTGGCTCAGTGCATGTTTTCTCACACTGTGTTTGTGTAAATACCGGCATTCACAGTGAGACTGTTTGCCGTTATTAAATATTAACTATGGGAGTGTTTGCTCTGTCTGACAGACCAGCTACTGCTAATGGCACTGTGTGTGTGTGTGTGTGTGTGTGGTTTGTTTGTGAGATGAGGTTCTGTGTTGCAGGAGCTGCTCCTCAACTTATTGACAGAGGGAAACGGAGCTTGGTGAGGGTGGCTTACCCCTGAATTATCTCTGTCTTGCCTTCACATGCAGGCTCTCACATCCTCAGCCGTCTCTCCTTCTGGTCAGGTCTTAAGAATTGCTGCCTGCACTTGACCCTCACTGGGGTTTGCTGGGGTAAAGAGGGGAATAAGTTAAATCCCATTGCTGAAAATGAAGTCCACTTTGGACTTTGTTCTAAGGTAGACTTTAATCAAAAAGATGGATGTGGAAACATTACGGTATCCATAGGTTTGTGGATTCCCAAGATTTTACTGATGTTATTGTCATTTTATAGAGACATAGGTACTCCACGGTTTGACCTCCCATTTTGAAGCCTCAAGTCAACCAAATATATTTCAGCATCTTCTTAACATCTTGATAACTCCCTGGGAACTCCCTGAGTCACTGTGAGTTTGTTCAGAGGGACGTTTTGTCAAACAACAGAGGAGTTATCAGATGGAAGGACTGCTCATGCTCAACAAGGATGAGACAAGAGAAAAAATCCAGTGGTGACATTTAGCTGCGAAGCACTGCCCTTTACCAAAAGTCAATTGAGCAGGAACACACAAAGGTCAGTGTGTTATAAACTGCAGCACAGCGATGACACGCAGGTGATTCACCTGTAAACAACACTGTAAGAGCTTCTGTTGCAACAAAATGAGGGGAAAACGGTTCACACAGTGTGGGCACATATTCCATGTACACTGAAATGAATGTCAAAATCTTCAGTCGCTTTTCTCATTTAGGTCACCGGTCTGATGCTCTAAACTTTTGATCCAATCTAGTTTTGAAACCTTGCATTTCACAAAGCATTTCACGATTGATGCAGTGTACACAGCAGTCTTTGTTAGAGCTTCTTTTCAGTTTCTTTCCACTTTAAGCTCCAGCAAAATGTTGTTTTTTTTTTTTTTTCCCTTTTCATAGAAAACCCATTTTCAGAGGCTAGATGTCAGTATAAAACATGTTTTTACTGTAAGTGTTTGGCATGTGTTCTTGAATAGTAAACTTGTCTCACTTTGTCAGATGTATGATGGGAATTGTAACTGTTACTGGAAATCCACATTAAAGTGTTTGGTCCTGTTAACACTCAAACCTTCACTAATTTACTTTACAAAGGTTGTTTTCAAGAAGGCTACACATCCGCCTTGGCAGGCCAGAGAGACCTGGGAGGATACGATGAAACAGGAAAAGTATTGCTGACACGGGTTTAGGAGTGTTGTGCATTCACTTGACAATCACTTTTTCCTCTTTTGTACAAATGAAGTAATCATGCTAGAAATTTCAACAAAAGGTTTCCTTATAAATTCTTTCTGAAATTTCAAACAGTCTCCCAGTGTTTTACGTTGGTAAATGGCCTGCATTTGTATAGCGCTTTTCTAGTCCATAGGACCCCAAAGCGCTTTACACTACATTCATTCACCCATTCACACACACATTCACACACTGGCGATAGCAAGCTACATTGTAGCCACAGCTGCCCTGGGGCGCACTGACAGAGGCGAGGCTGCCGGACACAGGCGCCACCGGGCCCTCTGACCACCACCAGTAGGCAAACATGGGGTTAGTATCTTGCCCAAGGATATTTGGCATGCAGCCTGGGATCGAACCACCGACCTTCTGATTAGTGGCCGACCTGCTCTGCCACCTGAGCTACAGCCACCCCGTTGTATTAGATGTGGGGTGATTATTGCTCATGAGATCAGTTTGCAGTATCCAACACCTGCAACAATCGTCTTTGGCCCTGCTTTTTCAGGGAAACGGGAATTTTTATTTATTTATTTTTTT